GGGGGTGTCTAAGCATCACGGTGAAGAAAGTCCCGAGTTGCAGGACTTTTGGGAGCAAAGGTGACACCGATCAACACCTCCAGCCCCAGGGGGAGGCTGCGCCCACGGCCTGGGCACGGGACCCGCAAGCCGGAGGCGCCCGGTACAGGCCGCTGAGCACAGGCACGGACGGATCCTCGGGGGGACGCTCGGCAGCCCCGAGCCTGGGGCACGTCCTGTGATGCCGCAAATCAGGCGGCTCGAGGACAGTAAGTGCGTTTCGCCATCTGACCGGAATAAAATGACCTCCAGCTCCGGGGGCCGTGCCTGACCAGCGCTGTATCCCTCCGGGGTTCAGGGAGCCTCTGCGCCCCAGAAGGCTCTTCATAAACATTTTCTGAAATTAAATATTAGCAGCTTGACACTGTCCCCGCTCTCACTGTTCCACGCTCGGGATCAGACGCCTGGGAACAAATGCAACTGGACTTGAACGTTGGCCCTCAGAACCTGCCTTTGGCGCCAAGGGGCCGGGCAAAGGGTCGCGGTTGTTGCATTTCCCTCGGCTACCAGCGTCCCTCTGCAACGGAGCCTAATTCCCTGCGCCCCGAACCCGTCAGGGTGCCGCTCAGGAGGCTTAGAAACGCCGTCTCGCCCGGCCCGCGGGGCTCAGCGGTTGAGCGTCGACCTGGGATCCAGGCGATCGGGGTTCGATTCCCGGTCGGGGCACAGGCCCGGGTTGCGGGCTCGATCAATGACTCTCATCACTGATGTTTCTCTCTCTCCCCCTCCTTTCCTCTCTCTGAAATCAATAAAGACATATTTAAAAAAAAAAGAAACGCCACCTCGCAGAAGACTCTGCATTTCCTGTGGCCACGCGGAGCCTGGCGAGGCCTCCCTGGCTGACGGGAGGGCAGCTGGGCTTCTGTCCACGCGGCGGGCGGGACGGCGCCCACACGACGGGTCGCTCTCTCTGTTAACCGTTCGCCCCCTTGTCAGGCTCTTCACACTTTCCCTGCATCGTTTTTTTCAGATATTAGATTTTACACCGAGAAGCCTTTCAGCTTAGCTGGCGGGTCCAGGGCTTAAAACAACATTTCAACATACACGAAAGAAAGGAAGCGGAACAGGCCTCTGTACCTTCCCCTGGCGCCAGGAATTCACAGAAACGGGTTAATCATTACCCCCCGTAATCAACAGGCTCACAAAGGGTAGAAAACGCCGACGAGACACATTTGAAACCGGAGAAAACAGCACCGGCGCCGCGTAGCAGCGGCAAGGGGCCCGGGCGCTCCGCGCTCCGGCGGGTCATCGGCCGCGCCCACGGCGCACAGCACGTGGGTTTCACCGGCGACACCCAGATCTTTCCCAACGACGCCCGAGGCACCGGGATTTGTAATCGGAAGAGCCTGGCCTGTGAAAGTGGGTGACAAGCCCCATGGCCCGGAAGGGGCGCCAGCAGCCACTGTCCCTTTACCGGAACGTGAAGAAAGCACGTCCCCAGCCCGCTCCCGGAACCTGCCCGCAGGCGGGGCGGCCTTTATGACCCCCTTCAACCCCCTCTCCTTCCCGTTCTCCGGAGAGGGGAGTCAGTGTTTTAAACGCCACCGAAACGAGGAAAGAAAGCGGCCACCGCGGACGCATTCAGCGCCCGTCCCGGTGAAATGTGAGGGCGCCGGGAAGCCTGCCCCG